TTCAGCAGGAACCCACACAAAGTTAGGTTCTTGAAGCTGATGGTACTTGGACGCGCTGGCTGCTTGCCCCAGCATGTTGTGTTTTGGGCACTGTTCCCCTTGTTCACAGTGCCTGGTTTGGTGCAGGTGACCCTGGACACTGGCCAACTGCCCTGTCAGGCGACCCGTCGACGCTGTTCGGTGCAGGCCATGGACGTCTTAGCCGAGTGTACCGCGCACGCCTTCTTCCACGAAGCATCAGCGTAGCGGCACAGGGGCTGGTGGAAGGATCGGGCTTCTTGGGGGCGGAGTGGGGTTGGGTCTGGGTTCTGCTCACATAATTACGTTATATACAGTATATAGTGCCGGTCATTTGACTGCATTGAACAACGAGTCTTGGAAAGAAAGGTGAGTACTGCAATTCTTGGCATTCAATTGCATGTTTCCCTACATAGGGGTGCTTTTGTTTCGGCAAATGTGGGCGAATATGCCAGGCCCATGGATTGTTTGGCTTGCCAAGAGACCCATGATAGAGTCCCATTATTGGTTGCCAGACCCAAAATCTGTTGGTAGAGTCTATGGGACATATGCTTGTTTGTTGGTTACAGGAGGTTTTTTCCGACTCTTGTCCTTCAAGACGGTGTCCGTCGCGTCGTGGCCTGTGGCTGGCCAAGCAGCTGTGTTCACCGACCGACTCTCTGGTGCAGGTGAAGCGAAGTTGGGGCCCCCAAGGTGTGGAGACAGAAGTGGCTCCAACTCAGACTCCGAAGACTAGAACTCCAGTCTGAGCATGTCTGAGCCTGTTCTTTGACCGAGTCGGACTCAATGTTTTTGTATGAACAAGTCCAGCAAAATGACCTGTAGGGGAAGATTAGACTCCCTAGTAATCCATATATGGACGATCTTTTTATATACCCTCAAAGCACCGCACGCAATGTACATATATATATATGTCATACTGTACCGAGAGAGTCTACTGGATATCCCAAACGAACCACTTGGGAAGAAGACTGAGTCGTTCGAGCTTAAGAAACAGTCTTGAGATGCCTTGAGATACACGGAGTGTTGATGGAACATCCGAGTGTTGTTTATGAAACTACTGCTAAAGGAACCTGAATCATACAACTATTTGCCAGGAGTTCCAAGTTGTGGTCCTAGTTGGCTTCAACCCGGTCAGATTATATCATGGATTGCGCATGTGTGACCTCTCCATGAAAGGGCCCTCATCCTGACATGGAATCCCTTGATTATCTTGATTGATGATTTTCGGAGCAAGTTCGGGAACTCATAGATGGCTATTTACCATTGGTTGGTTTTGGAATACCTCAAGTGGACAAGCAATGGGTAAATGGCGCCGAACCGACCCCTTTCCCAAGTAGGGACATCACTGGCGCAACTCCCTGAAGTTGGCATTTTGGATGGGGCTTTCAGTATCATGTTTGGTCGTTTTGCCCTTCATGACAGGATATAATAGTGCTTTATACAGACCCTAAATAGATAGAAGAGCGTAGATCCGCACTAATGATCTGAGGGGTGATGATGTGGAATTATATAAAGAATCTGGCACTGCATTGTAATATACATGCTTGATCATTTTTGGAAGGATTGGTATCCTATTCCGCTGCTTACCTTGGGTGTCCCTGCAATTCTGAATTGCTTGAGAGAAAGGCCAAAGGAAAAATAGGGGACAGATCGTGGTGTTTGATGTTTGTCTCTTCCCTCTGCCTCTTCAGGGATGGAGAGATGCCCCCCTGAACATGATCCGTGAACACTTCCAACCCAACCGCGGCCTGAGTCCTCGGCCTGTACTCGTCCTCCACTCAGGTCCCCGAGTCGAGGCCGCGCTCGTCGCGCGAGTGGAGGGGGGCCGTGTGTGGCCCTGTGTCGCCGGGACCGGAGTGCTGGACGGTACTGCCGACCAGGCTACCAGGGGGCTGGATGAGCCAGGTGTGAATTTTGGTTTGATGAAGATGAAGAGGGACGGTACTGGCGTCCAAATGCCACCAGGCGTCCAAACGCCAAGGCATCCCTTCCACCGTCCAAAATCGCAGCTAACAGATCTTCAAGGTTGGACAGTGGAATCGAGGTTTGTTCTTCAAGATCTTGCATAGGACTTACACGCACAACTTGTTTTGTGGATGAGCGGTATATTTGTTGTTGCAAATTCCAAGATCACATGTCTTTGCTCATGGAAGCGCTCAAGGATTTGGCGGAAGCTAGATGAATCAGGTCTTCACGTGCGGACAGGCGATCATCTTGTGCTGGCGCTTGGTTGGACAATAAACGCAATAGAGATTGGACGCAGTCGCACAATGGCCCTAGCGGACTATGGGGTGACCAGAATGTTCTCCTTTTGTGTGGACTTGATGCATCTTGGTCTCCGGAAGCTTGGTCTGGAGGTGGAAAGAGGGTTTGATTCTGCAGATGAGAAGTAGTCCTAACCTACTTATAACCTTGGTTTTAAGTCTACTAACCTCTATAAGGGTTAGCTTCGACTTAGCTTTAAGTTAGCTAAGCCAATAGGAGTTGGTAAGTACTTAGGTCTGACTTAGCTAAGTCACAGCTAAGTAAGCTAAGTTTAAGTTGGACTTAGCTGTCACTTATAAGTGACTTATAAGTCGAAGCTAAGTCAAAGCTAATATATATTGCGGCTATGCCGAATCAAAGTATGTCAATTCATTATTTATACATAGTTGTTTTAAAACATATTCAATAGATATACGTTTAAAACAGTTTTTTTAATTGTTACACGTTCTTGAGTTTATATAGTTGTTTCATTACCTTAATATCTTAATAGTCTATTTGTTTAGTTTATATTCAAGGTTTATTACAAAAAGGTTAACATATGTCTCAATCACAAAATGATAACTTATAAATATTGTATATATGTAAAATGAATAGTATATTTATATGTTTTAACCTATCAACAACAAATATGTATATACAAAATGTTCATGTGATAATATGTACATCACGATTGATCTAATTTGTATAATTAATAGTCTATGTATTATTAATTAACTTTATTTTTTGAATCAGAAATAATAGTATTGTTAACGTATTGATTATTTAAGGTAACAATATGATAACAAACTGTCATTATATGTAATGACAGATTAGGACAATCAATACTTCAGATGTCATAATGTTTATGACAAGATTTAATTGGAAAAGTAAATGTCATAGAGATGTTGTCATAATTTTCTGAGACACTATGACATATTGTCACTAAAAAATATGACACATTATGACAGTTGATTATCCTTTGTTTGTTTATAGTAAACTAGATTTAGTATATATAAAGTCTAATGAAAAATACTTAATATATACATATATATTGTTGATGTATGTGTATTACTCTATTTTTTGTTACTATATAAATCTATTTTTTGATATATTATATCAATAATGATAAGTTTAATTTATGTATTATTTATGTTTACGGCGTTGCCGTTTTTTGTTTTCACTAGTGTTTATTTTGCAGGCATTTGTGCAGCTGAACTCAAATTTGACATATTTTACTTTTGTGCCATGGGACGTGGTGGCGCAAAGGGAAAGCCAAGGGCAAAAGCAAAAGCGTGATTTATGTCACAAGCTCAGCCATAACTTTTGAAACCAATCCAAGCATAGTATCATCGCGGCAAGTGAAAAAGGAGCTACATCCCTTGTGGTTTGCGGTTCTTTTTTTGCTGGCGGCCAAGCCGCGCTAACTTTTTGTATAACATATATATTGACACACTTATTTAGAAATTAAAAGGATTTAGCTTGGAATGACAATTGACTTAGCTTGGACTTAGCCTGGACTTATAAGTCCAAGCTAAGTCGAAGCTAAGTCAAAGCTAAGTTGGACTTAGCTATGTCAAAGCTAAGTACTTACTAAGTACTTATATGTCCAAGCTAGACTTAGCTCAGCTTAGCTAACCAACCGCCGGGCAAGTAGGCTGCGGCTGTTGGCTTTTGTTGGCTTTTGGCAGCTTTTGGCTTTTGGCGGCTTTTGGCTTTTGGTGGCTTTTGGCTTTTGGCGGCTTCTGGCTTTTGGCGGGTGTTGGCTTTTGGCTTTTGGCGGCTTTTGGCTTGTGGCGGCTTTTGGCTTTTGGCGGCTTCTGGCGTTTGGCTGGTGTTGGCTTTTGGTGGCTTTTGGCTTTTGGCGGCTTGTGGTGGCTTTGGCTTTTCGTGGCTTTGTTTGCAACTCACAGACGACCATGAGATTGTTTTTGGAATTGCTTCATTCTTTCACGCGTGAGCTCTGTAGTGTAATCTGCACTTTGAGAATTGAGGTTCAAAAAAGTGCTGCGCCTGCCACAAAAAGGTTTCTGGGTTCACAAAGTGCTGCACCTGCCACGAAATGGTGCACTTCCAGGTTCTCAAAGTGCTGCGCCTGCCACGAGGTCTGCACTTGAAGGTTCACGAAGTGCTGCGCCTGCCACGAAATCTGCAATTCGAGCTTCACGAAATGCTCCGCCTGCCACAAAATGAGCAACTGAAGGTACTCAAAATGCTATGCCTGCCACGGAACCACTATGTGAAAGCGCTACCAGAAAAATAATCCCAAAAAGAACGCGAAAAAAAAAAAACAACAACTGAAAAAAAATGGCAAGCTTCGCTTGGTTACCAGTGAAGCTCGTTAGGAGCTCTGAGAGCCGTTGTCTCCGTATTTTGTGATGCCAGACCGTCCATACCATTGTTGTCAGGCAGATCTTTGTTAGGATGACGAGAGATGAGATGAGAGAGGTGAGAGTTGTATTTATTAATTTGAATTGTCCTTCACACAACTGCAGATATATAGATTCAATCACACACAAAACATTTCCATGTTTGTCCTTCGACCATGATGATGCTTTCATACTGGGAAGACACTCCCTGAAAAAATTAGTGGATTATTGTGGCTTCGATTCGATGAACAGATTTACATATATACCAACAGCGGTTGAAGAACCTTATAGAGTATCCCATAGGTACCCTGGTAGGGTCCTAGTTCAGGTTACTTAACCTTTGTTGGTAAGGTTTCGAAGACCCAAACGGCTGGGTCACTCCACGAAACGCTGGACATGAGCACTGCGAATGCACTGCGAGGCAGCAGAGATGTGAGGAGCCTCGATGATGTGAGGGGTTCTACCGATGAAGCCGTGGTGAAGCAGGTGGTGAAGTGCCGAAGAAATCCAATCGCCTGGTGAGGACTGGAAGATCTAGATGCTTTATGTGGGGTTTTCCAACATGAATGCCACCTGCAATTTGGAGAAACTCAATGATCGATTTGATTTGGCCATGGAACAAACTAAAGCCTTAGGCTTGGTCACCTCCAAACCGTTTGGGTCCTTCAGTTCAGAGGATTTGACTGAAAGAGCACGCTCGCTTCAACTCGCGTCGCTGGGATTGGACGACATAAACCATGCAACCCATCCAGCTTGTGCTTACCCGACCTCAATTATCTAATTGTTTGACCAAACCCTCCAAGGGGGGCCCTAGCTAAGGTAGGAGTCTTGTGTCCCTCTTTCCATTACAGTCGTTTCAGAGTAGATGGGACTGGCAGCCAAAGATGTCCTTTACATGGGAGTGCATATAAGTTACTGACATTGGGGGATTGTGCCATGCACCCTGAAGCCACTGTACCTTTGGTTTCTTTCAGTGCTTCACCCTTCTCCATTTATCCACAACATTGCTACAACGAACGTGTTGAGCGCATCTTATTACACTCGGGTGAAAGCAAGGTCAAACAATAGGGACACATGGACCAATGGCCCAAATTACAGTATTCATTGTCAATTAATTACATAATTTAATCTAATCTTTCTAGTTTTGCCGTGTGGGGCTTCATTTTTCCCTTGCCACCTCGGGCAGAACACATAGCATCGCCTCTCATTCTGTCCGTCCCACTTGACTCGAACTCGCGAGTCGGGCCGCCCTGCGGGCCGCCTGTGGAACGCTGGACCTTCCAAGGCTGGTGCATGAGGCGGAGCTGCTGTGTGCGCCCGGGGAACCTGGTCGGACCGGTGGACCTCGGTACCGGTCGTTAGACCGGACCCGTGGACCGAGGTACCGGTACCGGATGAGGGGTTTAGGCGTTTGGGGTAGGGGTACGAGTATAGGGGGTAGTGGATTTCAGCGGCATAGATCAGGAACACCTTGTTTAGAGCCAGGGGTGTCCATGATATAATCACATGTTTAGACCTTTTTAGGGGGTGCTGGTACAATATTTAGAGCGTTTTTGTCTATAGGTAGGTTTTGAAGAGGTCCGTTTGGTTTTCACGTCCTGTGCCGTCAGAATGTGAGTTGGAACGCCGGTGTTCTGTGAGACGCATCCGGAACAAAACCCTTATGGGGTAGTACTCTTGGCAAGCATGATTTTCGTGTTTGGGAGTGTGAGTTTGTTCGTTTGTAGGCATCCTGAACCCACTTTTTTGGAAGTACTTGTGACATTTTGTGACAGCTTCTTAAATAAAATCACGGTTTCAATGCCAACTATTTTCCAAGTGATGCCAGTGTCGTTCGAAGTCCTTCCATTGCGGTGATGTGGGGGAAGTCACTCAGGAATTTCTAGGTCCCTTATCAACATGCCAGGTGTAAAGATCATCCCAGAGTCCCAGAGATGTCACCAAGCCACAGTCAGTCGAAAACAACATGTCACATGGTCAAAGCGAAACATCAATGGGCAACTCGTTTTATTACTTTTGTTTGGACTTTTGGGCTCTTGACTTTTATGCTTGCTGCACGGACCGGTGCAGCAAGCAGGGACCTTGCAGCTGATGAATCTGATGAAAGTCATCGTTGCTAGTTGTTTTCCCCATCTTGTGGGCAAAGCTCATCAAAGTTAAACAGCAAGTTGCGAAGTTGTGGTTCTTAAAGAGAGTCGCTACAGTACATATTACCACCTCGAACAATATGAATAATATGCAAACACTGTCTTTGATGGTCATGTAGTGTCATGTAATTTGTTTGTTTTTTCACTGGAGACTGTGTGTCCCATTACAAGCAACAGTCGGTTTCCAAGCCCCTATCATGGGATATACCCTGAAGTCCCAGCTTTTTGTTTGGCAACCCTGCTGGGGCTGGTTCCTTGTTACTCTCTGCCGTGCTGGAGCAGCACTGCTGAAGCTTGTGAAGTTGTGTGGATCATGCCTTGTGATTTGCACTGGCTTTTGTAAGAAGAAGCCCCTGAGGCCGGTTTCACTGGCTTGTTTCCTTTAAAGCCTCTGAGTCAGAGGCTCTGTTCAGAACAATCAAACATATGCAACACCGCCTATTGTATTGCCCCTACAGCTCCAGTTGTCCTTTCCAAGGCTCCACCATCGCTCCATCGTGCAGCTTTTGGGCGTCACATCTGTCACTCGACTGGAGCGTCCACCGTGGCGTTGAGCTCCGTGGCACTGGGCATCTCGATGGGATCATATCGAATCCATGGGACTTGAATATGGAGCTACATTCACACGTCAAACCACACCAATGTAGGTATAAATATCATATACATGGAGTGCCTGGGTATGGGATATTTAGGGTGGCTACATGATGCCCAGTGCGATTGAAGACGGATGGGATATTTACATATATTTACTCCCTATAGGGCTCCAGTCGTACCTTCGTTTCGGTGGGACTGGGGGCCCAGGCGCCAGGGTCGGGTCCAGTCATACCTTCTACTGTAGCCCTGGTACTTACATGATCTTACAGTTAATTAGTTTTTAGATGCTTTTAGTCTCATGGTTTGTGGAATTGAACTGGGCCACCCCAAATTTCCCAAATGATCGCGTTTGGATGGTCCGAAAACGAAGGAGATATCAGGAGATCATCCAATATCAGAAACATGACGAAATTCTGGACGCATCGTTGTATACGCATCTTAGTGCTTTCTGCTGGACTCCACCACATCCAACTTTGAAAAGGATATATGAAGGAGCTATATAGAATTAGGATCCCCCGTGATTGATGGCATATAAAATGTAGATCCTTTTCTCTTACAAAATGCAATTTCCAAGACATATTTTATAAACATGAGGTTTTGTTCTTTTCAGGATAACTACATAAGATATGGAGTATCGATGTACATAGGTCATTTAATAAATTTTACTAACTTGGACACTGAATGACAGTATGGCTCAGTGATCTCGGGTGGCTCCGAGTTCACAAGTGCCTTGGCGGGTAGCACCGTCTCGGCACGTGCGTTGGCGGGTGGTCCCGCCTCGGCGCAATACCTCCAAAGAAGAAAGGAGGTAAGAAGAAGCGAGGTCCTCGCTCCGCAAAAAGGGTCCAAGCTCGCATAGAGCGAGGAACCCAGAGGCGCTTGGATCGAATCCAAGCCAAGGCCGAGAAAGAGCACCCGCTGTTCCTAGGCCCAGGGAGCAGCTCTAGGGAACAGGGCATAACCAGGTTCGTTGTGGTTGAAGAGCCAGAACTACCTTCGACTGGTATTGTCCTGAAAGAGCCAAGCCAGACAAGGAGAAGGTGACGGAGAAAACGAAGCCGATCAGCCGAGAAGGAAGAGGAAGGGATCGAGAGTACCTTGCCTAGGCCACCAACAAGGGCTCCAGCGAAGACTGAAGAGTTTCCTGGGAGAAAGAACCGCCTTCGGCTGCGATCGGCTGAACCTCGTCAGCACAAGGTCAACAAGTTCCATCAGAGCCTCAAGTTTGCTTTGAAGGAAGGAAGCGATAAGAAGAAAGAGTGGAAGAGCCTTCGATTCCACCAGCGCGTGGCTTGGAGAAGCGAGTGGACTAAGAAACTTCCAAAAGGTTCAGTGGGAAGTTCAATCAACATCGAGCTGCCAGCCGACTGCAGTTCGTGTGAAGAGAGGACTATTGCTAGCAGACCTTTCGTGCGTGAATTCGCTCGTCGTCGTGCTCAAGGCCTACCTGGACTTCCAGAGAACCAGAGAAAGTCCAAGATTGCATCATCGGCTGTGTATCGGCCACCAGCTGCAGAAGAGAGCGAGGAAGAAGACCCTGAAGAAGACGATCCAGTGATTGATCGAGATCTAGGTTCGGATGTCGACTATGGAGGAGGGACAGACACAGATGTCCCAAGTGTTGTCGTTGTTGCAGCAGCTTAGGCAGCAAGTGACTGACCAACAGAGTCAGATCACGCAAATGCAAGCTGTACAAACGAGAGTACGCGGTGAAAGTGAGCTTTCAGGTATGGTTCCAACCTCCCAACTCATCCAAGACCTGAGAAACCAAACAACAGCTGGTTCAAGTTCAACAAACCCAACTATGACCATTGACACACGTAGCATTGGTAAACCAGACAGCTTCAAGGGTGACCCAAAAGAGCATGTTGATTGGAGTTTTGTTTTTAAGGCTTACATGTCATGCATCTCAACAAGATACATCGAGTTGTTTGAGAGAATTGAAAGTTCTCGGGTTCCAATGCCCAACCGATTGATGGGTGAAAATGACAGAGCTTTGTCAACTCAGATGTACTATGTACTGGCAATGCTTGTCAAAGGCAGGCCACTGGACATTATCCAGAATCCTGGTCCTGGTGAAGGTGTTGAAGCTTTTCGGAAGTTAGAAGAAACCTATCACCCCAAGATTGCCAGTCGTTTCGTTGGTAGCTTGGCATTGATTTTGGCAACCAGGTTTGGCAGTGACATTGAAGCTGAGCTTGAACTGTTTGAAAAGAACATCCGTAGATACGAGCAAGAATCCGGTAAAGCGCTGGATGATGAGGTCTTGCTGGGTGTAGTGATCAATGGACTCCAGGAAAACAGCATGAGGGATCACATCATCAGAAACGCAACTCGTCTCACATGTTATCAGGCTGTTAGATCCGAACTCCTTGAAATTGCCAGGACAAGTCGTGTCCTGAACCAGATGCCTGCACCGATGGAGATAGGTGCAATCCCCAAGGGCAAGGGCAAGCAGCCCAAAGGAGGTGGTAAAGGAAAAGAAAACAAAGGTAAAGGCAAAGGTTACGGGGGAAAAAGTGAAAACCAATCTGGCAAAGGAGAACCGGATCTTCAAGTCCAAGAGTGGATCATGCGTTCTCCTCTCGTTGCCAGAGGTTCAGCAGGATCCACGAACAGGTACCGAAAAGGGTGCTGATCTTGGCCAAAGCCGACCTTAAAGGTGAGAGCTCAGTAGAGATTCGCACCTTACCTGGGGAGATTATCGGCTCGGTCCGGGCGGATATGTCAGGCCAGATGTTTGACATTTTGGAAGCTGCCACACGAATGCATGATTTGGTCCATCCTCAATATGATTTGAGCTTCATGCAGTTCTGCATTGGGGAGACCTATGTCCATCCCAACTCCTGGACAACGCGCGCAGATTCCTTCTTCAATCAACCAGTACATGTCCAACGTGCAAACAACTTGGTGGAGGAACAGAAGCGGCGCAACCAGGAGCTGGCAAAGCAGCGCAAGGAACTTACTGAGAAAGAGAAAGCTCTCAAGAAGCAGGCGAAGGAGCAGGAGAGGCTTCTGTCCATGAAGAAGAAGAATGAGAGATCCACGGCTGTAGTACAGATTCAAAAGAAAACGAAGCCGACTGCAGCAAAGGCTGCACAAAAAAAACCAGCTGTAAAGAAAGCGGTTCAGAAGAAGCCAAGTGCAAAGTGACATGCATGCAATGGCACAGCAACTGTCGTCAAAAAGGCACCGTATGTATCACTTGTTTGTGTAGGGTTGCATCAAGTCGCGGTAGTCCGCGCAAGTCATGTACACTTGTCTTGTCTGTGTAGGGCTGGTAGGGCTGCGTAAAGTCGTGGTAGTCACAGGGTTGCATAACTTTTTGTTGATGTTCAATGATAGATGCGGATACATCCGGATACAATCCGGATACATTCTTCTCCATGTATCCGGATGGTATCCGGATGTATCCTGGTGTATCCCCGTGTATCCGGATACATCTGGATACACAGGGATACATTCGGATACCATCCGGATACATGGACAAGAATGTATCCGGATTGTATCCGGATGTATCCATGTATCCGATTGTTTGCTGAACTTTTAGAGGTCTCAAAATCAGACTGACAAGGTCACGGTCTGTGTGTGGTTGTTCTGCATCATGGATGCCCCAGCTCCCACCTTGCTGGAGAACATAGAGACAGTTCCGGCTGACATTATGGTGGCAGCTGAAGATTTGAAACCAGACCAAGCAGATGAGGATTCGACAAACACGGGTCCACGATGTCAGAAGTGTGATTCACCAGTGCAAGCAGACCAGCAGGTGATCAAACATGTGACCAAGATCCCGCACAACAAGGTTCTCTGCCGAAGCTGCCATGCTGTCCAAACCATGATGGCCAGAAGCTTGGAAGGATTACCAGCCGGCTGGGATCAACTCTCGGAGGAGGAAAGCATTTCCTTTTACAAGAACATGTTGCAGAAGAAGGGTGACGGCCCTCTGCGGTTCCAACTCCTGCGGGCAGAGATGAAGGCCGCCCTGATTCACCGTTCAATGGAAGAGACCAAAAAGGGCTTCAATGGAGAGTTCCACCCATTGGGATACTGGGAGAAGCGTGGCTATGACACGTCCTTGATCCAGCAACGTGCCGAGACCATGGAGCACCCCGTCCTGGGCCAGACCTATCGCGTCGACATTTCCCACGTGTCCACCGACACAATCAACCAAAGGGTGGAAGAAGCCCTTCAGTTGGTGGACAAAAGTGTGAAGCGCAAGCGCATCCCCAAGGCCAAGGCAAGTTCGAAAAGACGCAACAAAGGCGAAGAACCGCAGGAGCCAGCTGAGCAAGTCCCTGTGGATCCTATCCTCTTGGATTTGGTGGATCTTGAGAGCGATGATGAAGTCATGGTGGTGAATGGGAGCGGGATGACGGATAAGCAAAGGCTGGCCAAGGAGAAAAGGGAACAGGCCAAAGTTGCAAGGCAGGCCGCAAAAGACGCTGTCAGGGACTCCAAGATTGCTACCAATGTGGCTTCCAAAGCTCTGACATGCTTGAACCCGGTGCTTGACCGCCTGCAAAAGGCCTCAAAGAATCTGACAGATGCTGTTGACCCAATGATTGTGGATCAATTGAAAGAGAAGGTGGAGCTGGCAGAGCAAGTCGTCACCGAGGCACAAGCCATCCTGAAGAAGGTGGGTTCAGGAAAGCAAGCTGCTTTGAGTGAAATCGCCATCACCAGCGACAAAGCTTTGGCGGCCGAGATCAAGGCTATGAACGAAGTTCTCAAATCCATCAATCTTGCAAAGAAGTCCTCCAAGAAGTGAGAGGCATTTTGTTTGATAGGGGTTGTGATCTGGCATGTCCCAGATCAAGGTGTCTACTTAATTTCGAACGTGCTCAGACTAAGGGGTCCAGAAGAAGTTGGGAAAAAAGTATGTTCTTTTTGTTGTTTACCTGCCGCCCGCACTTTGAAACCTGTTGTCATGACAGTTCGTCAAATGAGAAGCGGTCGCCCGCTCAAAACATATTGGTATTTCCATATACTTTCATATGTGCATGGCTCATCTTAGGTATATAGCTTCACGTCTCATATGTAAACTGACCTTTTACCTTTCATATGTGAATGGCTCAAAAGTACAGTGTACACATTGACCTTTTAGTATTTGGTTATGCTCCCTCTCGCATTCATGTCCAGCATTACAGTGAGCCCACAAGTGATGCAGGAACTGATAGATGCGTTTTCAGCCCTGTACCAGAATGATGCCAAACAATTGGCTTGGGTTGCCAACTACGAGCTGGAAAACTTGAAAGAGATCTGCGTCTGGCTGTGTGACTTCTACACAGACAATTGGTCAAAAGCAGAGCTACTCAGTGAAGCAGTTTTGTGCCTGGCGACCTTGCGATGTTACTTTGAGTTCGGCGTTGCCATCCAGGATGAGCCCTACTCAGGCTATGTCAAGTGCGGAGAACCTCCAGAACAAAGCTTGCAAAGTAAGATTGCTGCTTACTCCGTGGCCCATCCTCGCTGTGTTCCCATCAAGCGATCAGAGCTGGAACAGTGCTTGGGCTACTTGGGGACTGCGCAACAGTACTTTACCGCCCACCACAACCAGGCATTCTTCGATGTGATTTGGCCTCTTTATCATGTACTCTCTGAGGTGAGGAACCACTTATAGGAAGATGGAACTCCACCATGTGTGAAAAAGTTGTTGATTGGCAGAGAGCAGTCTCCATGCAGGCGGTCGCCCGCTGTTTGTGTTTCAACAAAAAGATAATGCAGTGTAGGTCTTTGATCAGATGGTTCCTGGGTTGTATAGCAAGCGCGTTGTATCACATTCTTTTGCTTGTGTTCTTTAGATCTGGGTAGCTGGCTAGCTTTCATGTTTCTCTTGAGGCGGTGGTCCGCCCCTGGTCAACTTTTCCAAAGTTTTCCATAACACATCCTGTCGTTTCTACAGGTTCAAGATGATTCAATATGATAGATAAATAAAATACACAATGCTCCATCATCCAACATGTTTTCCCCAAAGGTTTCTGGTCAGGTATGATTCATGGACTTACCACGCTCAAGCATTTCATGTAAGTAATTGACGCGCGCAATGAACGGCACACCCTCCATCTCTTTGCATGGAGGTTCCAAGCAAGAAGAGACGACTGTCGCACTTGTTGGCTTGGACAAACTCTAAGGAGCTTTGGAAGATCACCCATTTGTTGCAGTCAGGTGAAAACAAAAGCAAAGCTCAGCCAAGTGGAGCGTGGAAGAGACAGAGGGCAAAAATCCTCGAATCAGACCTGTCTTGCTTCAAGGAACTTCAAATTTCCATCAAAGATGAAATGCCTGTGCGTTTTTGGATTGCAGATATTGGAAAACTCCTTAACTATATCAATGAGCAGGTAGACTTCTACAGCCAAAGGCTTGCGTTGGTATCTTCGGATGTTCTTCACCTAGTGTTGGTGGAAGATGAAGCTACAGGAGGCAATGTTCTGGCAACATCATCTTCCAAAAAAGTACACCTATGGTACTTTTGCGTGGCCACTTTGGGAGACAGTCATCGCCCAGACGGTTGGTTTCCACTAGCTGCTTTTCCAACTCGTGATGCCGCGTACCTTCCAGAAGGTGCAGGTGAAGTGGCTGCCGCTGTATTTCGAGATTTGAGCCGACAACTGCGTAGCCCCATGCGCATCGGCCAGCGCAGCTTTAGCCTGAGAGTTCAGGCAATGGTGGGCGATTACGAAGCTCTTCGATCTGTGCTGAATGCAAAGGGAGCATCAGCACTAAAGCAATGTTTAGCTTGCAAAAACGTGATCTCCAGGCAGCATGGTGCTGAGGTTTTGGCATCCAGCCCATACTTCTTGACTGTTGACAGTGCTGAAGTCGATAAGTTTGACAAGTACAGTGCATTGGAACTCCACGACAGCTATGACAAAGTCTTGCAAGACACTGACACAATGAGCGTTCAGGACAAGAAAGAATTTGAAATTTGTGTTGGTTTTCACATTCACCGAAGGGGAGTATTGGCTTCAGAAGAGGCACGGTCCATCGTGTCTGTTGGCAATCTTCTCTATGATTCGATGCATTGCTATTTCGCAAACGGAATCATTTCGAGCGAGATAATTCACATCACAAAGGCGTTTGAGAAGGCCACGCAAATCTCTTTGACAACGATTCAATCTTCAGTCAAGGAGGTGAACTGGATATGCAAAAACAGAGCCTTCAGCTCGCCTTCTGCCAGGGCTTGGTTGTTCAACCAATCGTACTTCCAAGGCGACATGTACAAGGGGTCGGGAACACAGACATGGTATGTGTTTCCACTGCTGTTTTACTACCTCATGCTTTTGGCCACCCCAGACCAGTTGCCCGCCCTGGTATGTTTCCAGGCCTTGTACCAAGATCCTTGCTCATGGTTTAGTTTGTTTTCTTATTTTGCGCCTCATGGACTTGGAACTTTTTGCTTGTTTTGTAGATTAGAACGAATGATGTGTTTGCTGCTTCTGTTGCCTGGTATTGGTGAGGTGTACCTGGAGTTGAAGAAGTGGCGGAGGGGGTTTGGAGACATCCAAGCCTTGAAGGCATTGCAAATCAAGCACCAAGAGCTTTTTGGTCGCTTCTATTCAGGATTTGAGAGGCCAAAGCACCACTTCAGACACCACTTACCGGACATGTATTCTGCTCATGGATACTTCGATTGTTGGGCTTGCGAAGCTCGTCACCGAGCATACAAGAAGGAATTAGCTGATACTTTATCTGGTACTTATGCTGCGGGTTCTGGACTCTTAAGCAGAAGCATCCTTACACAGTTGCTCCACAAACAAGTGTGGAGTCTTCAGGACAATCCATGGTTCAATGGATTGGAACTGCAGTGCCACAGCGTGGAAGATGTTGAACAGGCCACCGGCTTGCAAGGCTTTCGCATTGCCAAGGGCTACCGCCTTGGGTCGCTTCATCTGCAAACAGACGATGTGATCTTCGATGGTTGCAAAGCAGCATGGATTCATTTCTTTGCACAGAGTGAGACGTCCACATTCTGTATCTTGGAGGATTTGGATGAGACACCAAGCAGAGTTCCTTTCGCGCGAGTTTTTGAACTCACTGGCAGAAAGAGAGCTGTAGAAGTGCAGCCATGTTTCACTATAAGTCAGCCTGCTTGGCACTATGTCGAGGGTCGCACCGTATTGTGCTTGGAGTGAAAAGAGCAAGAGCATTTATGATGTTTCTGAGAGGTTGGTGCCCTTTGTCCGCATGTCTGTGCTTGGTGAAACATATTTCAAGAATATATATACATATATTATATATAACCCTGTGCGGTGGTCCGCCTCCGTTGTCATGCGTTCCCAACCATCAATTGGTGTCAGAGAAAACAAAACTATCAATTTTTTTGGGAAATACTATGACAATACGCAGGCAGCAAACAGCGGACGACCGCCGTCAAACTGCGGACGACCGCTGTCAAACTTACAGCGGAAAACCGCTGAGGACAAAACAAGCAAAGTACAAAAGACACAACATACAGCGGCCAACCGCTGAGGACAAAACAAAACACCTGTGCCAGGAAAACACTCCAAAAACACTGCAGTGGACAACCACATGCATACTTTTTGTAATGTAGCAAGAAAAACACTTGGCTAATGAAACACATGAAAATGCATACTATTTTTTAGTTACAGAACTTATAACTTAGTTATAATTTAGATGCAAGTTAGTTAGATAAGTTATGAATAACTAGTTTATAACTAGTTTATAACTGCAATTACATAGTTAGAACTATCTTAACTTGAGGGGCACCTCATTGTAGGTTTGCGGTAGACTTGCGCTAGTGACGCTAGTATTTGCCTCAGGGCATGTTCAGAATGTCGTCAGGTTTTTGAAAAGTGGCTGGCTGAAAAATGCGCTAGCCGCGCGCTAGGACTGCGCTAGATCCGCGCTAGCAAACATTGCCAGATTCCAGCGTGTGTGGACCCTTCCAAGGCTGAGTTGCAAGATGTCTTTTGTTTCAAGCACGGCTTGAAGCTTGCAGATCAGCGGAAAACGCTGCAGCGCTAGTGACGCCTCTTACAATTTGGCGCCAATACTTGTTTAGTCCATGTTTCCTTCATTGACCAGCTGTGTGTGCCAAAAGTAAAGAATATGTAGCGGGCCCCCATGTGAACACGACTTTCAGCAATTTTTGGAAGACATTTCGACCAGATCCCATGTGTCTAATCAGTCCAACCACTGCTACGGCTACCACCAGTACTCGCATGCTACTAGAGTGGGATTTTAGTACAGCAACTCCCAGTCCTACGACGACGAGACGACGACTATAACCACAACTACAGTACGCAGTGGAATGTTGGCTTCTATTGGGACCTCCGCCACGGACGTCCATCTCAGGGCAACACTCCCTGAGAAATCGGGTTCAGCAACAAACAATACGCACTGCCGGACGAAGCGTTCGCCATGTTTCGGGTTGAAGTGAACAGACGGCGAAGTATGTGTGGCCTTCAGAATCGCCACTTGGCAGCATGCATTGACACCGGTGCGGAGGTCTTCTGCTTGTAAAGCTATGCAGAACTCTCACTCCCCAACATCTCCGGATGATGACACTTGCGGACCTTGGAAAGAGGAGCGCCTGATCGGAACAACTGGAGGTTGTTCACGACTCAGATCAGCGTGTGTAGTGAAGCATGCAGGAGTATATGTGACAAGTTGTTTAGTCGTGGCAAAGGTTTTAGTGTTACTACGGCGTACTATATTAGGCGGGTTCAAAATGTTCTTCATCTACTTTATACAAAGGGGCTTCACCCAAGAGAGTGATTTCAGCATCTACTTTGTACAAGGGTGTTT